CTGCTACCACTACTACTACTACTACTACTACTACTACTACTACTACTACTACTACTACTACTACTACTGCTATTGCACTTACTACTAGCACTAGTACTAGGACTACTACTACCTACTACTACTGCTACTACTACTACTACTTCTACTACTACTGCTACTGTTAGTTCTACTACTACTGCTACGACGACTTTTACTACTACTACTACTACTACTACTACTACTACTACTACTACTACTACTACTACTACTACGACTACATGCGCCAATTGTTGCGCAAACTCTGCACGGAGCTTTGGGCGACGGCGACGCGCCCCCGCTCACGTGCTGTCCCGCTCCGAACGACCTGGGCGAGCGAAGAAGATATGTGCCGCGCCCTAGCGGGAACGCCACTCTCAAGCGAAAGCCGCGCTGCTTCGGTGAGAGCGACAGTTCGCCCGCTCGCGCGCGGCGCGAACAACTTGCGCTGCGCCCAAGCGGGAGCACAATTCGCTGGGAGGGACTGGCGCGGCGCCACGACGAGAACGACATTCCGCACTCTTGCGCGCGATGTGCACCGCGTCCCGTTCCTGCCGCGCATGTCGCAACGTCGACGACAACATGGCCATGCCCTGACAACAGTTGATTGTGTACTGTTTCGAGGGGTAAGGTGGAACATCCTGAGTGTGATTCGGATCGGCGGGTCAGGTGACACGTTGGGATTCCAAAGCAATAAGGGATATTGCGATGATGCAGATGTTGATGTTGATGCTGCTGACGCTGCTGCTGATTAACTCATAGTGATGCTGGTGACGGAGGTGCTGATAATGCTGCTGATCTGATGATGCTGCTGATGATGATGATTATGATGTTGCTGATGATGCTGATGCTGATGCTGATGATGGTCATGATGATGCTGATGGTCATGGTCATGATGATGCTGATGATGCTGCTGCTGCTGATGACGATTCTGAGGATGCTGCTGCTCAGGATGGTGGTGGTGAGGGTGCTGATAAGGAGGTTGATGATCCTGTTGTTGATGATGCTTACGCTGCTGACGATGATGATGACGATGCTGTTGGCGGTGGTAGTGATGATGAAGATAATGCTGCGGATGATGCAGGCTTGACTGAGGATGGTGATGGTGGTGGTGATGCTGGTGATGCTGATAACGATGATGATGGTTATGATGATGATGATGATGATGATGATGATGATGATGATGATGATGATGATGATGATGATGATGATGATGATGATGATGATGATGATGATGATGATGTTGATGATGATGATGATGATGATGATGATGATGGTGACGATGATGCTGATGAGGATGATGCTGAGGCTGCTCATGCTGATGCTGCTGCTGCTGACGATGATGCTGAATACGATGATACTGGTGGTGGTGGTGGTGGTGATGATCATGCTGCTGATGATGATGATGACGACGGGGACGACGACGCCGATGACGATTCTGATGATGACGATGATGATGCTGATGATGCTGATGATGCTGCTGCTGTTGCTGATGGTGATGATGATGACGACGAGGCTGATGCCAATGCTGATGTTGCTGATGATGAGTGTTGCGATGTCGGTGATGATGACGACAATGAAGATGCAGATGAAGATGAATCTGCTGGTGATGATGATGCTGATGCTGCTGATGATGATGATGACGATGACGATGACGATGATGGTGATACTGATGATGATGATGATGATGCTGATGATGCTGATGATGCTGATGATGATGATGATGATGATGACATTGATGGTGATGCTGCTGCTGCTGCTGATGATGATTATGCTCATGGTGTTGATGATGATACTAAGGAGGCTTATTATGCTGATGATGCTGATGATGCTGATGATGATGATGATGATGATGATGATGATGATGATGATGATGATGATGATGAGGATGCTGCTGCTGGCGATGATGATGATGCTGAGGATGGTGATCATCATGATTATGTGATGATGTGATGATATGATGATGACGAGGAGGAGGAGCAGGAGGAGGAGGATGAGGATGAGGATTCTGAGGATCATGGGGATCATGAGGATCATGGGGATCATGAAGATGATGCTGCTGCTGCTGAGGAGGGGGAGGAGGAGGAGGAGGAGGAGGAGGAGGAGGAGGAGGAGGAGGAGGATTTGATTTGATTTGACACGTCGCATCGCAAGGGCTAAGACCAGCAAGACAGAGAGGAAATCGCTAACAGCCCAAACCCAAGAGGGAGGGCGCCAGCGACTAACTCCCCACCTCACCAGTCGAAGCCGAACCACTGCCATCCACAGCGCGAGTAAAGTCAGCAAGAGGCACTAGCTCGTCAAGCGGCACATCCCTATTATTGGGATGGATGCCTCTTCTAAGCCGAGAGAGGTTGCTACGCGTGTGGTTGGAGGAGGGCCCGCCCTTGCAGGCTCTCGCCAACCCGCCAAGCCTGACCCCCTCAGAAACACTCCCACAGTCCATGCAGCAGAAGAGGGTGACCCCATCAGGGGTACCCGTCAGGTGATTTTTATGCCCCCAGATGCTCTTGCACAAGGGCACATAGCACAGGGTTGAAGCCAAGACAGTCCGCAGCAGGCTGCGGAGGGTCCGAACGCACACGAGTAAGACAACGCGTGCACGCCCACAGATCTCGAATCCACCTGAATTCGTGGCCACGATCCCTCCTCAGGAGCGCCTGCGCCCCACCAACAGCGGGGGCAACGGACGGGCCCACAGTGGCCCCAGCGGGGGCAGGGGCAGGAGGAGGGGGGGCACCCCGAGGGGGAGTGGAGGGTCTTGGCTCTCCCCGGCCAGCCACGCCCAGCACCTCTGAGGCGGCGCTGACGGTGGCGGCACGGGCGGCACTGCCACCAGCAGTGGCGGCACTGGCTGCACCAGCGCGGGAGGCGCCTGCCCTTCCCGGACGGCTGCTGGTCCTGGCAGGCGCAAGACTTGACCAGAGCAACAGGGCTTTGGCCGCATAAATCAGAAAACTCCTGAGGCTGGACGTTTCAAAACTAAACTCAAAAAGCTCGTTCTCCGACGGACGGGAATGGGTCATCGCAGCCGCCTTTGCAGCCACATCAGCCCAGTGATTTCCTTTGGCCCTAAACGGGTCCACAGAGGAAGGCTCGAAACAATCAGCACTCTGATGGCCTTTCACTTTTGTGATGGCAAGAGCGTCTTGTCTGGGCAGGTGGCTCAGAGCAAGGAGAACGGGTCCAGCATAATACGACCTTCTGTCAGCAACCACTTCCAAGGGCCTTTCGTTCACTGCCACGAGCCCTTTGTAGTCCGTGCAGAATTCTGACGCCGAGCTAGCATACTTGCAACTTGCCAGAAACCCAACATGCTCCGAAGCAGGACTCGTCTGTGGCAGCTTGGCCCCTACTTTGCCCGATATGATAGCAAAAGGTTCCCCATCCTCCTGGAGACAAACACATGACCAGCCAGCACAGTGATGGACTTTGTGACCTTCCTTGAAACAGGACCCGTCATGAAAACACATCTTGTCTCTGAACGCCTCCAAGGGGGTCAGGTTGGCGTCCACACAGGAGAAGGTAAAACTCTCATGCCCGAAGCCATCGGGCGGTCTCAGAATACTCTCAGGAACCAACTGGAAACCAAGCATGAGAGGGTTCTTCTTATCTTCTCGGCAGATGAAGTCAACCACATCTTCCTTCAGGTACTCATCCCTAACACTGAGAGTAGCAGAGCAAGCAAACAGGCGATGGTGAAGATCATCCCTAGGATACCCACACAGAGGACACGATAGATCTTCCACATCATACCCACATCTAGCAAGGCGCCACTTGGACCACAAGCACTGTGTAACAAACGCCTTCAACATGCACTTCTCTGCATACGACAGGATACTGCCAGGGGATAGCAATTGGCAACATACAGTCGTGTCCAAGGACTCTCCAGGGTGTCCGAACTTGCTAGCGGCCTTCGCAGCCAGCATGTGCATCCACGCAGCTCTGAGATCACAAAGAACTTTGGCGGGAGACGTGCTAGTTAGGACAACTTCCTGACCCTTGTGGTCCTCCAAGACAAAGGGGGAGGAGGAGGAGGAGGAGGAGGAGGAGGAGGAGGAGGAGGAAGGAGCGGGAGCAGAAACGGCAGCGGGAGCAGGAGCAAGATCTTGAGCCCCCCCGAGTGCTCCAAGGAGAGGGCAGTTGCCCCTCCCCCTGGCCCATGCCAGGTGTAGGGTCGAGATCCTGTGCGACGTGACGCCCTTCTTCCCCCGGGGGGGGCGGAGAGGGAGCCAGGTTTCTTCAATCTCGTAATCCTGACCTCGAGCTGCCGTGCCCTCGCGCTGCACAGCACGCGCGCGGGGTTGCCGCAGCCGCTTCGGGCCCCGAAGAGGACCCCGAGTCAGAAGCGCGTCGCCAGCCAGGCGGTCAAGATCGGTGACGTGCCACGATGAGCGGAGGGATTGCGGCCACCCGCCGGGACGCAGGCCCGCGTGCGGTCGGAGCGAGGTGTAAGATCGAGGTCGGTTCGGGGCGGTTGCCCCAGTGTTCTTCGTGCTGGTCGGGTGTTCTTGTGCATCCTGGGGAGGGAGCCCTTGGATGTTCTGTGTGTTTGGGCCGACGGAGGGTTTCGTGCTCTTTGGGGGATGTTCTTCTGGCCTAGGTCCGACTGTACCTGTGACACCCTGACTGCGCTGAGCTCGACGCAGCACCTGCCTGTTCTGCTGCCGCCGCGGTGGCTGCTGGGAGGGCGGGGGCCCTTTCAGAGCAGCCGTGGGCTCGAGGAGGAGGGGCGGCGGAGGAGGGAAGACGAGGAGGGAGGAGGTATGAGGGACGTGCGCGAGCTTTCGTTGTGCCCCGCGGGAAGTGCTGAGAGGCGGGGCCCGCGGGAAGGATAGTGGACAGCGGAGGAGACGAGGGAGGGGAAGGAGGATGGATGCGAGGGGAGGGGGGAGGGAGGTGAGGTCGAGGGGGGGATGGGAGCAAAGATGGAAGGGAGGCGACCAGAGCAGGGCCTTCCTGCGTGGACCACCCGGCCCCCTGAGGCGCTGACGGTGGTCCTCAACATCCACCCGGCGAGCCCCGCGCCGCGCTCCTCTCGCGCGCCGCCCCCGCCCCCTCCAGCCCGGCGCCCCGACTGCCCTCGCCTTGGGCCGCCCCGGTGAGCTCTCGCCGACTTGGGGCCACCTTGAGCGCATGGCGTCTTGACTTGGGCTGTCTTGGACGCCCGCGGGCCCGTCCGGGACCCGTGGGGGCGGCCGGAGGAGCCTCCGCCCGTGCCGCCGCTGGGCGGTGGGAGGCTGCTGGAAGGCTCCGAGAGACGGCCCGAAGAGAGGCTCGTCTGTGGCCCCCGATGTGATCCCCAGGGTGCGAGGACAGGTGCCAGCAGCCTTCAGAGGAGGAAGAGGTACCCATACCGCCACCCTTCCTCGTCGCCGCGGCCCGATTCGCCTCGCAGTCCTCCTCTGAATGCACCCCCGAAGAGGTTCAGGGAGTAGCGGTATTAGTACTTTGTGTTGCTCACCCACGCTTGGGATGGGACCAGCAGAGAAGGAAATGCGGCGCTGACTGATTACATATCCACTCGCACCAGGTATCCCATGTGGCAGCAATCGAATTTCATACACATCTACCAATGCGTTCCAATTTTCTAGATTTCTTCAGCAGTTCGCTGATCAAGCGCATCGCAGGATGCAGGCATTATGATCGGTAAATTTCCATCCTGGTTGTCGTCCTCGTCCTCGTTCTGGTCTTGGTTCTCGTCCCCACCCCATCTTCATCCTCTTCATCCCCATTCTCACCATAATCATCATCACCACCACCATTATTATCATCATCACCACCATCATCATCATCGTCATCATCATCTTCGTGGTCGTCGTCGCCACCATCATCATCACCATCATCATCACCGTCACCATCACCATCACCAACACATCACCATCACCATCACCATCATCGTAGTCATCATCACAAGCATCATCAACATTACCATCACCATCACCATCACTATCATCATCAACATCATCATCACCATCATCATCATCGTCGTCGTCATCATCAGCACCATCGTCATCATCATCGTCATCAGCATCAACATCATCGTCATCATCGGCGTCATCGGCGTCATCATCACCACCGTCATCATTCGTATTATCAAAACCAGCATCATCATCACCATCATCATCAGTATCATAATCATTATCATCGCTATTACCACCATCGTCATCAGCAGCATCAGCATCATCATCAGCATCAGCACCAGCACCATCAGCATCATCATCATCATCAGCAGCAGCATCATCATCATCATCATCAGCATAATAATCATACTCATCATCATCACCATCATCATCATCATCATCATCATTATCATCATCATCATAATCATATTCATAAGCATAATCACCATCACCATCAGCATAATCACCATCATTACTTTCGCGTCTTCATTATTTCCCTCGTCCTTTCTACCCATGTTTGCTCAAGCCAGTGCTGTTACAGAGGCGCCTCCGTGGCTGCCCGTACCAGTTGCGCATGTCGATTGGTGTTTCGCTGACCCTGGCAGCATTATGCACCACGCGGCCATGTCGCGAACGCTGTTGGCGAGGGGTGCACGCGGTGGCTGGTGCCTGCTCTGGGTCATGCGAGCTTCTCGTTGGGCAGTCGCCTCCGCCAGCCAGAGGCCATCCCGATCCGATCGATTCGATTCGATATCGATCCTGGCCGGCCCGATCCGATTCGACCCGATTTCCCGATTCCATGTTGGCTGATCCTGCCAGCATGATCGAGATCTTGCGTTCCTCAGGGCTCGCGCGCGGGCGTAGACCTGTGCTTCTTCCCCAGCGTCTGCAAATGCAAGCTCTTCGAGAAAATGGACAATCACGTCAACAGCATGGCTGGGTCGTCCAAGACGTGCAGGACCTGGTATCACTCAGCCAACGTTCGCGCTGACGTGATCGGCATTAGTCTGAAGGCGTTGCAGCTTGCCAGGATAGAACCTCTTGGCTTCAAGTGAAGCGTGCAGGAGCCACACATCGGGTGTTCGAAACCACAGGCAAGGCCATCGGGAGACCACCCCGAGGAGGGGGAGAGTATCGAGCAGCTGCGCGACACAATTGCGCAAGCAGTCGGAATTCATCTGGTGCTGGACTTCTTCCGCAAACAGTTTCAGGGGGGCTTGGCCAAGGACCTCGTGGATGAGTGCCTCAAGTACCGCACTGAGAATCTGACCATCAGATCAAAGTGTAGCACTGCGCCAAGACAGCGATGACGAGCGCGATCGGGAATATATTGATCAAGATGGCACAACTCGTGGACAGCCTCCTTCCTCGGCATTTGGTGCGGGACATGTCCCGGTCTCAGGTGCCGTGGTTGGCCCATGTCCAGTGGTTGTTTGGGCAGCACGATTCACTCTTCATGCTGCTCATTCGGATTGCGTTGGAAGCTGTAGGAGCTGGTCAGGCAAATCAGTGAGCTACGAAAGACTCCAAACCAGCGGGACCTGTATCACCAGGTTGCATATATGCAGGCAGCAGTTCCTGCAGCTGCAGACCGCAAAGCTGCAAGGGTAGGCCAGGCGGTATCAGCACGATTTGCGCCAGCAGGCCGCCATGCTGGAAGAGCAGGCCAGGCAGCAACGAGACCTGCGCCAGCAGGGAGCAGCGCCAGATCGAGGAGCTGGTTGCCTGCAGGGGGTGGCCGCCTCAGTGCAGGGCGGCATTTTGTTTCATCGCGCATCTTATGCAGCTAGTGCGTGACGCTCTCGCTAGATGACATTCCCCAATTGCGTCCACTCTCGTCACCACGCGCGTCCTCATCGCGATGCCAATCATTATTCTCGCTTCCTGCCCGGCCTCTTCCTCCCTCCCCATGTGCTCCACCGCTAGCAGGTGTCCATATCCATCGCTTCGGAGTCGTGCCCTGGGATCCACCGCTCCCCAAGACCCTGGGACACGTCCCCGCGGCAGTGGATGTAGACATCCTGGCGGCGCTCGTTGGGGCGGGTTGCGCAGGTGCTGGTCCAGAACACGAAGCACCTGCAGCCCTTCAAGATCCAGCAGGACAAGCCGCCGGCGTCCGTAGCGGAGTGGCGCCACTGCATCGTGCACATCGTCGCCTCTCAGTTGCTGGCTCCCAGCCTCCCTGGGCCCCCCCTGCCCCCAGGGGGAGGGATGGAGGGAGGGCGAGGGAGGACGAGGGAGGAGGACGTCAGCGGAGTGGGGAGGAGAGAGGAGGCAGGAGGGAGGGAGGGAGGGAGCGAGGATGGGCTCGGATTCGCAGACAGGTGCAAGGACGGGTCCTCATTGGTGGAGCCCTGGGCACGGCTGACCGAAGGGGGGGGAACCCGTCTCAAAATCCCCGAATGGGAGGGTAACGAACCCGCGGACCTGTCCAGGCCAGCACCGACGCAAGGGCCGTACCACTTGTCCGTTGGCTTGGCGTCTTCGTCCTCCCTCCTCCCCCCACATTGCCCTTCTTAGCGATCCAGGCGGATCTGGGCGCCCAGGGGGCGGCATCCTGAACGGGAAGTGAAGTTGATCGGGCAGTGGTCCACTGATAATGGAAGGATGCGTCGGCCAAGGGCGGGGGGCGATTCGTTGCGGGGGGCTTGCACGGCCCAGCAGTTCCCTCGGTGCGGTCAGGTACCCCCATGTGTCAGGTCCTCTGCGCCGCCAGAGGTCCTCTGCGCCGCGTGGCGCATCCCTACCAGCCCGTCCAGAAGCGATGCCTGGGCGAGCCGTCGGGAGATAGGGAAGCAGGGGCGCGTTCAGCGAAGCAGAGGGTCCTTGTCCAGAGGGGGAGGAACGGGCTTGGACGAGCTGGCTCCCCTGACCACCCCGTGCTGCCCTGCCCTTCTTAGCGATCCACACTGACCTGGGCACCCAGGGGGCGGCACCCCGAGCGTGCTGTGGCAGTGGCCCGCTGATGGTGGAAAAAGCGAAGCAGAAAGGGCCACTGCCCGACGGTGGAGGAGCGGGCTCGGAGGAGCCGGACCGCCCCAGGCCACCCGCGCCCAGAGGGCCGCTGGGGCTGCAGCGCCCCGCCCTCGCCGCCCCCCGCGGCCGCCAGCAGGCATGGGGGGGGGGCCCCGCGCCTGCCCGCCAAACGGCAGGTTCAGCTGCCGCTCATCTCGGGCCAGTACCTCTTCATCAAGTACTTCGAGATACCGTTCGACTACGAGTCAATCCCGAGCTGCTGGAGCCTGCTCTGGCGCGTGTACCTGTCGCTGGTCGTGGACGACACGTGGGTGTACTTCGGAGCGGAGGGGGGATCTTCGGAGCGTGCACCAGAGAGCCCCGGGGAAGCCAAAGCGAGTCGCGCGAGAGCAGCACCTCTTCTTCTCGGTAATCAGCGACAGAGGAAGATATATAGTGTCGACGTGCACTGCGTCCGACCGCCCCTGCGCCCGAGGCAGCAGGATTCCGCGCACTTCCTGCCGACGGCGCCAGCCAGCAGTCGCGAGCCCGCGCCCTCGCGGGGCGCCGCTCTTCCAAAGGGGGACCCTGGCCGCGCGCTGGGGCCGCCTGGGGCCGCGCCGCAAGGCACGGCACGTCCTGGCAGCGACGCCGAGAGTCCTCCGCCTCCGCCGAGTCCTCCGCCTCCGCCTCCACGTCTACGTCCGCCTCCGCCCCCGCCTCCGCCTCCGCCTCTGTGTTCGCGCCCGCCCCCGCGTCCGCATCCGTGTCCGCCGCCTCCGCCTCCGCGTCCGCCTCCGCCTCCACCTCCGCCGGCGCCAGCCACCTCCGCCCCCGCGCCCGCGTCCGCCATCTCTGCCTCCACCTGCCGAGGCCTGTGGACGGAGGTCCGTCGATCCGATTCCGTGTCGAACTCGGCCGGCCCCATCCGATTCGATTCCGATGCTCCTGCGAGCCGATGCGGCCCGACGCTTGCATGGCGCAGCCGTGCAATCTTGGCGCAGCCGACCCGATTCGATTCCAGCGGCGTGCCGGGTGCAGCCCGATGCGACGCGCATTCCGATTCGATCCGATTTCCCCTCTCCGGTGAGGAGGAGGAGGGCTGCCAGGGGTCCCGCTCCCATTCTTGACACTGTCACCTAACGGCGCCATTGCCAGTGGAGAGGGCCGAGGCTCCCCCTACAGTCCCTCGGCCAACGAAGACGGCCGCAGGGAGGGGTGCCAACGTACCTCCACAACTCAGACCTTCAAGACCTTAAGAAGGCGCCAACTGCCACCACTCACTGTTTCCTGTTTTCTTTCCTACCACCTCCCCGTGCCGCTTCGAGGGCCTTTGCTGAGCCCCAGGGCCGTCAAGCGTCGACTCGGAAGGCAAAGCCCTTCCTGAGAAAGGGGTCCAGACCTTTTAGAGTGGGGTCCAGACCTCTGGGATCCACGTTGCGAAAAAATAGTGACGTTGGGATTCAGGGGCCATGAACAAGAGGGGCCCTGAGGGAAACTGGCCCAGAGGTTTTTCGCCGTTGGGGCGGGATGAAGAGCTGGTCCAGAGGAGAGCCCGGAGTGCAGGATCCCTTGCCCTCGGGCCGCCCCCGTCGCAGCATCTGGCCTTTCTCCCCAGGCCGGAGCGCGAAGCTAGCAGCGCCTCGCGCCTCGCGGCGGGGGCCGCGGAGCTGCCTTTCTCCAGAGGGGCAGGGCGCGAAGCGCGGAGTCGGGCGACGCAGTTGGCTCTTCGCCTCTCGGGCTCTCTTGCGCGCCAGGGGCTGGCCCGGACCTGGCAGAGCCTGCGGCAGGAAAGCTCTGCTGCTGACGCGCATGGAAGGACGGGAGGAGCAGAGGGACGGCCACTCAGGCTGTACCTCTAGCGCCGTGGAAAAAAACACAGCATGAGCGGAAGCTGTCGTGCGGAAAGCATGTCCTTGGGGATGATTGTCGAGAGTTCTGCGGCCCACGTCTCGACCAAAGAACATGACTCCGGAGGAATGGACAGGACCGGGATCCGTGACGACGACGGCGTTTGTGATGAGACATGTGCAGAGACGGCGCAAGTGATGACGACGAGCGCGAATGTAATAACGAGGCGATGGCGATGAGGGAACGGCTCTGATGACGTCGAACTTAGGGCTGACCTGGAGTCCGAGCGAGCCCAGGCGGACGATGTCGGTGCACGTGCGGCGAGGCGGGGGGGAGGCGGGCGAGGCGGGTCGGGGAGAACGCGCGGCGGATTGACGGGGGCAGACGGGCTGGGCTTGGCCCCCACGGAGAGAGAAAGAGAGAGAGAGAGAGAGAGGAAGAGAGAGAGAGAGAGAGAGGAAGAGAGAGAGATAGAGGAAGAGAGAGAGAGAGAGGGAGGAAGAGAGAGAGAGAGAGAGAGGAAGAGAGAGAGAGAGAGGAAGACGGGCCGGGCTTGGCCGCCACGGGGAGAGAGAGAGAGAGAGAGAGGAATAGAGAGAGAGAGAGAGAGAGAGCGCGGACACGTGGACGGCGGTTCCGTCACAGCTGGCAGCTGCAGTCGCCAGTGCCGCAGAGGCACACTCAGAGGCGGTGCCCACCTTGGGATACGGGGGACGTTGAAAGAACCTTCCCCCCGGCGCAAAACGACTGAAGTAGCAGGTGGGGTGCTGAGCAGGCGATGTGCCACGTCTCTCGGCGAGAGAGAGAGAGAGAGAGAGATAGAGACAACGGAGGCAGTAATAATATGCGAGGGAAAGACAGGGGCAGCAGTGTTCTCGACTGCGACGGCGGAGAGGGAAGCACTCCAGGGGGCGGCACGGCAGGGCACCGCGCCCTGCACGACCGCCGCATCTACAAGCACATCCACAAGGTGTTGCGTCTCCCTGTGAACCACTGCCTGCTGGCGCACGTGCGCCGGCGCGCTCGCGCTTGCGGTCGCCAGTGTGTGGGTAAACTGGCCGTCGGTTCGACGGTTCTACATGTTTGGCAATGCCCGTCGCTGATCCTGAGCTTCTGTCTGCACAGTCCTCGCATATCATATCGGTCTAAATTTGCATGTCGTCGCAGCAGGCCGCTGACATATTGTGCGCATGCAAGATGACGCGTGCACATTGGCGCAGGCCCTGGAGCCTGCATGGAGATTGAAATGAGTTGCGGGTGTCAGTGCCACTGCAAACAATATGCTTATGTTCAGCTTCTCTTGCTCAGCAGCGACAGCTGCAGCTTATCATTGTTAGTACCGAGTATCTGCACAAGGCACACACCGTAAGACATCGGTCGACTTGGTGGCCCGAGGGGTGTCTGGCGCGACCTGTGGCGCAACCTATGGCGCAACGGTGCGCCCACTGAGGCATCGGCCACTTTGGTGGCCCGCGGGGAGCTACTAGCGCAACCAATGGCGCAACCTATGGCGCAACCTATATGCATACATACATATGAATAATGGGGCGCTCTGGCGCCACCCGAGACGCCCCTAGACGGCCTGAAGACGCGGCAAGAGGCCCCCAAGAGGCCTCCAAGGAGGCCCCCCAGGGGCCCCAGGAGGCAAGCACCACACCGTTTCCTGAGGAAAATGTGCAATTTCAGTCGATTCTGTTTCCCAGTCTTGACGGCCTCTCAGACGGCCCCAAAGGCGCCCAAGAAGGCTCCATGACCACTAACGAGGCCCCAAACACGGCCCAAGAGGGCCTCAAGACGGTACAAGGGAGCCCCAAGAGGGTCCCAAGAGGGTGCCGACACGGGTCGTGGGTCTATCTTGGGGGGTGTGGCTCCCAAGATGCCCCCAACACCTGCGGGGAAGCCTCCAGGAGGCTTCCAAGAGGCCCCCAGAGGCTCCCGAGAGACCCCGAAGACGCCCCCCCTATTCCCCAGGAGACCCCCAAGAGGCCCCAAGGGGCCCTCTAAATGCTTCAAAGAGGCTCCCAGGAGGCCTCCCAGTAGATCCCCAGAAGCGTATGAGACGTCTCGCGTCTACATCCTGCACGGCGTTCCTAGAGAGGCTTTACGAGGCCCCCAACTTACGAACCATCTCAGGGCTTCGAGGGGCCTCTGAGAAAGACGCCGCGAGGCCCCGAGAAGCACCCAAGACGCTCCGAACTCACGATCCAGGTCAGGGGAGTGCTGACATGGGCGGGGCGGCGGGATGCGAAGCTTGGCGTTGGGGCTGTCGGTGGAGCTCCCTGTGGGGTACGATCTGTGTGAGGAGACAGTCCACCTACACAGGAGGACGTGACGTTATGCGACTCCTCCCACCAGGGCCGCACGTGAAACTACATCCCTCTGGGGCACGATCCGTGTGAAGGGGTGCCGAGACGGGGGGAGGGGCGCCATGCGCGCTTCGACCTTGGGCCCGCACGTGGAGCCCGCGGGGGGGGGGCACGAGCCGCGTGAGGGCCGTGCCGACGTTTGCGGGGGGGCGCTCTGTGAACCCTGCCTTCCTCTGGGCCCCCATGGCTGCCCCCAGGACACAATGACACATGTTACCAGCCTGGAACATATCCCTATCCCTATGCTGGGCACCTCCTCATCACGATGCCAATCTTAGGGATTCCCTTATGTTTTGAGGGCGAATCCCTAAGATTGTCATCGCCTTTTGGCGTGTCAATCTTAGGGATAGGGATACGTTCGAGGCTGGTAAACATGGGTCCACCCCCCTTGGTACAACACGGGGCCAGCCGTGGGGAATGAGGCCATCCGCGTTGACAAGCCGGTGACAATCAAGGGTGGCGCGATCATAATGAAGCCGATCTGTTTGACGTGTGCAAGTAAGAGAAAGGCAGGACCAACGTTGTGCGGTTTGACAGGCGCACGGGCTGAAGTGAAAGTAGGGCATGCGCGAGTGCAGCACTGCTATTGGCACAGGAGGTGTCGAAGTGGAGCGCGGAGCACGACTCTACCTGCAGGACAGCAAGATTGCTTGTGCCCGTGTTGGCTTGCAATTTGGCCCTGCCATTACCTCGCCCAAGGAACCTCGCATTTTGGTCACAGGGAACTGCTTCACATCCTGGAACAACGCGGCGATCTATCTGAGAGGCAGCGTGTCCGCCTCCATTGAGGGGAACACGTTCAGGAGCACCAGGATCGACGTGCCGGTCGATGCGAGCGTGCTGGGGCAGGGCGACAGCGAGCTCTTCGCTGAGAAACAGACGAGAGCACCGCACGTGGAAGCATCACTGGCATGTACAAGCCAGGCCGGTATGTTGCATCGGCGGATTTCCCCGGTCCTACAATCGAAGTCACCCCAACATATTTCTACTATGTGTGCGTCGCCCCCAGGGGCGACGCGCGCACCGAGAAATCTTGTAGTATACTCGTCGTGGCGGGCGCTTTCTGGCTACTCGGCTCGGGAAACGATCTATTACAAGATGGGTATACTATATGTTCGGGTCGGACGCACGCCTCCAAGGAGGTCATATAGTGCTAGTATGTCTCTGTGCGTCCCATACAAAGTCTTTCGGACATGGCCGCCTCCCGCGGGCACCTGCGTCGTCGTGCAGGGCGGCCTGTGTCGACCGAAGAAGGGGCGGGTGACCATTTCTGGGCACGACGCATCAGTGATAGCTGATTCTTCTGGGCGCCGCCGCCGCAGACAAGCATGACCGAGATGGGGACGGGGCCACATCGCTCGAGATCTGGATTCAAGCGTGTTTCGAATCACATTCGATGTGGGGATTGTTGCTCCCGCGAATCTAAAATCAGATCTCGCGTCCCCGCATACCGACATGTTGGACGTGATTCGCCCAGCTCCGACTGTCATGCTTGCCCGCCATCTTCTGCTGCTGTGTGCATCCATGCGTGCGGTCGCGTCTCCTCCCTCAGCCGCACTGCTGCGCGTTCGTACGTCAGCCGTGGCTTCTTCAGCTCTGGTACCTCACTTCGTCGGCCATGTTCCATCTTTGACCGTCGACGTCCTTCCCTCCTCCTCCTCCTCCTCCTCCTCCTCCTCCTCATCCTTCCTCCTCCTTCCTCCTCCTCCTCGTCCTCCTCCTCCTACTTATCCTCTTCTTCCTCCTCCTCCCCGCTCCTCCTCCTCCTCCTCCTCCTCCTCCCTCCTCCTCGCTCCTCTCTCCTCTTACTCCTCTTACTCCTCCTCCTCCTCCTCCTCCTCCTCCTCCTCCTCCTTATTCCTGCCCGCGGGGGCCCGCCGACCGATCGAAGGTGCACCACACCTACACGTCGCCGTTCGCCCCGGATGCCGAGTACGAGCACCCCGTGGAGGACGGGGTGCAGAGAGCGGGCTGGCAAGATTTGAGCGGGGGGAGGAGGAGGAGGAGGAGGAGGAGGAGGAGGAGGAGGAGGAGGAGGAGGAGGAGGAGGAGGAGGAGGAGGAGGAGGAGGAGGAGGAGGAGGAGGAGATCGTCGTCGCCGTCGTGGCTCAGCATCGTTCCACCGCTCCCCATCCTTACTGGGCCACGCTATCTCCCCCCCCCCCCCCCCCCGGCGGGGATAGGCCCTCCGAGGCCCGCAGGGAACAGCGTGCGCCCCACACCCACATGGGGGGCAAGCTGGCCGGTGGGGCCAGGGCCATGCCAGCGGGGAGCGGGGCCGAGGGGCCGGTGGGCCCGCGGGCTCGTGCGCCGCGAGAGCGCAGGGGCCCTGCGCCGCTCCTTCGCCGCCCTCTCGGCCGGGGGTCTCTGCGGCCCTCGGCGCCTGCGCGCCTGCGCCGCGGCCTGCGTTAGCGGGCGTGGAGCGGTATCTGCGAGCGGGGGCGCCTGTCCCAGGGCGGCTGGAGAGTTTCTCCCCTGCCTGCCGCCGCAGGGGCAGAAGCTTCCCCGCCGCCCTGGAGCAGGCGTCCCCGATGGCGGCAGGGTTTGCTGTACACCGCTCTCCGCCCGTCGATCGCCTGCACGACCGCGGTGGGCTGCCCTCTTCCTCGTCCTTCTCCTCCTTGTCCTCCTCCTCGGCCCCATCTGGCCATGGGGTGCGAGAGACGGGGGTACCACACAACAGTTGGCACAAACGATAACGGGGGGCAATGTGATCTGTTGACGGGAATTCCAAGGGCTCCGTAAACAGGCGCTGGGAGGGAGGGAAAGTAAGGTAGCAAGCCCGCCCTCTATGGCGCGTCATCGTCATCCTCCGCCTTCTCCTGTTTCCCACGCTCCTGTGCTAGTGCTTGACGAGGCTGCCGAAGGCGGCGCTGGCCCTGTTCTGGACGAATGGTTCGCAGGCGTGCAGCTGGGCGGGCGGTGTAATACCAGTATTGGATTTGAGGTCCATTTCGATCAGATCGGTCCGATTCGATATCGATTCTGGTAGGCTTGGTCCGATTCGATTCCCATCTTCAGCGATCCGATGCTGCCCAATACTTGCATGGCGCTGTAGTGCATCCTGGTGCAGCCCATCCGATTCGATGTCGGCCCTGTGCCGATGCAGCCCGATCCGACGCGCATTCTGGTTCGATCGGATCCCCCGAGCCTTTCTCAACGCTCCAGCTCCCCATGCTCCTCTTCTCGCACTCCACTTTCGTGGAGCCCTCTGGAGCCCTCTGGGGCCGTCGTGGGAGCCTCTTGTGCCGTCGTGAAGCCATCTGGGAACGTCTTGGAGCCCTGGTGGGGCCGTGTCGGAGCACTTACGGGCCGTTTTTGAGCCAATTGGGGCATTTTGAATGCGTCTGGGAGCAGTCCTGGAGTAGATGGGTATGCCGGGACCATTTGCCGGGCCCCCCCTTGTCCCAAAAGGCTGGACCAGGCGCCAGGTTTTGGGACTTTCTTGGGCCGTCTCGGGTCCCTCTTGGGACCATCTCGGGCGGTCTCGGGCCGTTTTGGGGGGCCTCTTCGGCCGCCGCGGGCTCTCAGAAGCACGAAGACACGATGGTACGGATAGCTTTCCAGAACAACTGGGACTTAACATTTTGGTACCCCATCTGAGGCCGTCTTGGGGGCCTGCCGGGCCGTCTTGGAGCTATCTGAGACCGTCTTTGGAGCTGTCGTGGGTCGTGTGGGAGCCCCATGGGCCGTCTTGTAGCCAGCTGGGACACTTCGACGGCTCCTGGGAGCATTTCTGGAGCAGGTGAGTCTGCCGGAACCATTTGTCCAATCCCCCCCACCTTCAAATTGGCCAGACCAGGCTTTGCAGAGGCTTTGCTGGTGGTGGTAGTGGCGGGTGCAGTCAGGACGTTGGAAGAAGGAGCAGTTCGGGCTCGCAGGGGGTTCATTGTGTCGTAGGGCCTTCCATCATTGTTCCTCCAGACTTCCTCGTGCACCCGGGCGCTTTGGGGCCAAAAAGGGGCTTCGTTCCTTACGTTGCGGTCTTTCTAGCAGTAGCTTGACTCTGTTTTCAGTCTGTGGGGAAAGTATCTACCAGGAGGCCGAGCGAAGGCAGACCTGCTTCTCCTCATCTTCGTTCTCCTTCTCCTTTTTCTTGACCCCATCGCCCTCCTCTTGCCCTTCTCCCTCCTCGTGGAGGAAGTGGATGCGAGGGGCTGCCGGGAGCCCAAGCAGACAGGGAGGGGGGCTGTGCGGGACAGACCGTGGTCTTGGGCATCGGCTTCTTCCTCGCGTGCCTGTTCTTCACCAGCCATCTCCTGTTCATGTGGGTGTGGCTCTACGCCAGGTGCGGGGCCCCCCCCTCTCTCTCTTCCCCCTCACCTCCCTTTCTTCTCACTCACGTTCTCTTCCCCTCCCCCTCCACTTCCCCTCTTCCCCTCCCCCCCCTCCCTCCCCCCCCCCTCCCTCCCTCCCTCCCTCCCTCCCTCCCACTTTTACAATTACACAACATGAGCATATGAATACTGTTCTCCTTTCTCCCCCGAAGGCGTCCCGAGAGCGGCGCGCTCCCCTTAGATCTTCTTCGTATGTGCGTCCACTCCGAACGTTGCCGGTCCTTCCAACATGGCGCCGCTCCCGCAGCAGCGCTGGCCTCCTCCCCCTCGCCCTTCCCCTTCCCCCCTTCTCCCCCCCTCCCCTCGCCCTTCACAACTAGTAGTATTCAATCTGAGTACTATTCTCCCTTGTCCCCTGACTCTGTGCGGAAGTTGCCCCGCCCTTTCTCTTTCCGCATGTTTGTTGTTTTACTATATATATATATATGTATACATATACAGGGTTTAGAATTTATGCTTGTTTTTCCCCTCCGATCGTTTTGGTGTTTCGAGATGGCCCTCCCGCTGCAGCGCTGACTATTCTTTAGGATCGGTGCTTTGATCCCGCTGTTCATCACGGCGCTCTCGCCCCAGCGAGGGCCACACTTCTGGATCCGAGTGCTTCCTCGTCGTTGCCGCCCCTCCCCTTTTCCCTCCCCCGCCTTCCCCTGGTCCTCCTCGAGGCCCTCCTGCTTCTTCCGAACCTCCCACTCCAGCTCCCACTGCTGCTATTCGTCCTCGTCCTCCTCTCTCCTCATCCTCGCCATTCTCCTCCTGCTCATCCTGCTGCTCGTCCGCCACCTCCTCCTCCAGTGTACGCAGCTCCCCTCTTCTCCAGTTGCGAGTGTCACGAGTAGGGGTCCTTTTGGGCGTGCCAGGTCCGCCATGACGCGCGTCGGCGGATGGAGGAACATCAGTGCATTCGGGAAGGGATGGGTGGGAGGGGTAGGATGTCAGATGTGGCGCGAGCAGCACACCCAGCTGAGCTTCCCCCCTCGCTCTCTCCCTCCTCCTCATCCTCCTCCTCCTCCTCCTCCTGACTGACTCCTCCTCCTCCTCCTCCTCCCTCCTCCCCTCCTCCTCCTCCTCCTCCTCCTCCCCCTCCCCCTCCTTCCTCCTCCTTCCTCCTCCTCCTCCTCTTCCCCCTAACCCTCCTCCTCCTCCTCCTCCTCCTCTCCTCCTCCTCCTCCTCCCCCTCCTCCTTCTCCCTCCTCCTCCCCCCCCCTCCTCCACCTCCTCCTCCTCCTCCTTCTCCTCCTGCTTCCCTTCCCCCGCACCCCCCAAGGAGGGCCGTCCCGCGGGGCGAGGACCTGCCGCGCATCGTCCACCGCCCGTCGCCCCCGTCTCCTCCCGTCCACTCGTCCGCCCCTGCCGCCACTCCCAGGGTTCGGGGCTGGCTCGTGTGAGGCACCGTCTTTCGGACTCACGTCCACTCGTCCGTCCCTTCCGCCATCCCAGGGTTCGGGGCTAGCTCGTGTGAGGCCAAGGGGCCCCGAGCTCTTCGACCGTCTTTCTGGCCTCACGGGGGCCCACCACACGGGCCCCGGGGCCGTCAAGAATGGCTCGGGATGAACAGGTGGTCCTGGGGGAAGGCCCCAGGGTCCAAGACTCGTCCTCCTCAAAGCCGAGAGGCCAGCTGGCAGGCGTGGGCAGCCGCATTCCCACGGCTCAGGGGGCGCCGCGGCAGGTTGCTGGAGGCTGCAGCGCCCCCCGCGCTTCCTCCCCGTGGGAAGGAGGTTCCAGCACCCCCACTCTGGCATCACCCGGCAAGGCGACGGATTCGATCGGGGAGAACGTGCTGACGATGGTGAAGCGCACCTCTCGGGCGTGCGTACCGCAGGCAGCGCGCCAATCCTTCCGTTCGTCAGCCTCGGGCCCAAACGCTCGCGTGCCGAATTACGCAGCATGCGCCACGCGTAACGACGCATTACTGCGATGGAGGTGTGCAAAATTCGGCGTCTTTCAACCACCCCCAAGGTCACCAGAGCTGTCTGCACAGGCCTCACTCAGAACCCTTCCTCAGCTCACTCGGCCGAGGTAAGCGGTGTATTCGTGCCAATCGGGCGAGAGGTGCTCTCCCCGCAGTGTAGCAAGGCCAGACGTCTCTTCTGCTTCTCCGCACCTCTCGCTGGACGCACGGCGCAACTGCGAATCTCTCTTTGTCGGATGGAGGGGCGCCGGGCGACTTTGATTCTGAATTTTCTGCCGGTCAGCCGTCCAGGCTAGGCGCAGGACGAATTCATCGATGGTGGCCTTTGTGCAGCTCTTGGTGAGCCGTTCGGCATTCTGCTAAGAATCAATCGTGCTAGCACCGCCTGATTCCACATTGGTATGCGTCCCTGGTTCCCTCGCGAGTCCATCGCCACGTTGTCGAGCCATGAGACTTGTGCAGACGGTCGGGCATCTATGGCTTGGCCGCGATCCACAGCTAAGGCCACTTTCACGTCTCGTTTCATAGCATCCTTCAGCGCAGAGGTGATCTCTGCTCAATGAAACGTTTAGGCAATCAGAGTGTTTTTCTCCTTAGCGACCGCCCCCCTCAGCAGGTAGCATGCCATTACCTGTGTCTACGAGGCCGCCATGGGCGCCACGGGAAGGAGTGCGATTCAGTCATCAGCCTCTTCGTCGGATCTCTGAGCCTTTCCTCCCACAGCTTCTTCCTGCCGACGGCCACTGTTCGACACTGGAGTTTCTGGACTCGTCGGACGTTGCATTCGACCACTTCCGCGGTGCTCCTGCCTGGACCGCTTCGCGCACACCCAGGGGCTTGACGCCTGGGCATCGGCACGATGAGACACGGCCGAGCGTCCGGCCCTGTCTCGCCCCCACATCCGTGAGCTGGCTCCACAGACGTTTCCCCAAGCTGTCATCAAGACCCTGCTCCCGCATCCAGAACTGCAGACACGTCTGCATTGTTTTTCTCCGTCGCCCGCCTTCGTGTGTCTTGCTCCCATGCTCACGCGAATGAGGAGACTGGTCAAGCAAGGATGGCCCAAGCTCGCAAGCGAAGCGCCGCCGTCGCTGCCAGAAGGCTCGAGGGAGAAGGTGAGAGTGGAGGGGTCGCGAGGATCACCATGTAGCAGCACTGGCAGCGAATGTTGGTTCGGGCGGGGGTGGGACAATGATGAATCCGCTCCAGAGCGTTTCAGAGCGTTCTGTACTGCTCTCAGAGCGTTCCGGAACGCTCTGCGAAGGCCGCGGGGCCAGAGACATCTCCCAGAGCCGCCAGATCTCGGAGATTATCCTCATCCGAATTTGTTCCCGTCCTGGCTTCGTTTTGGTCAAGGAAGGAAGGGCCGGGCAAGGTTGGTGGTCACGTACGACTCCCATTCCGGTTACGAGTACCCGATGAACATTCTTCACCTGATACCGTTCTACAACGGTGGGGGACCGTGCGGGGCCTGGGGCCGCAGGTTTAGGGGAGGCTGGGCGTGAGGGCGGGAAGGAGGGGGGTGAGTAGGCGTTGGCGGAGGAAGTGTAGGAGGATGAGGAGGCGGAGGCGGCAGAGGCGGCAGAGGCGGCGGAGGAGGAGGAGGAGGAGGAGGAGGAGGAGGAGGAGGAGGAGGAGGAGGAGGAGGAGGAGGAGGAGGAGGAGGAGGTAGGCACCTGTGCGCGCCGATTTCACCAGCTCTGTGCAGCAGCTGGTTCGCACCCCTCTCTTCCAATGGGAGCCCCAAGAGGCCTTCCAAGAGACCACCCTGGGCTGCCTGGAATCCCTGGACTTCTCCCCCTCCCTCTCCTTCCTCCCCCTCCATCCTGCTCTCTCCCCCTCTTTCCTTCCCTCGCCCCCCGCCCCGCGCCCCCCGCCCGTGTTGTCGCGAGTCCTCCCGCATCCTCCGCTCCGCTCGGTCCCTGCCCGTGCTCCCCCCCCCCCTCCCGCCGCTCCTGGGGGGTCTGGCCAGGCCCGCGGGCCGTGCGTGCGCGACCCCCGGGCCTGGCCGCTGCAGGCCGTGGCGGGGAGCTCCCACCGACCAGGAGAGGGTGCCATCTTAGGGGCTGGAGCGACACGCTCCTCCGTCCTCCTCGCTCGCTCATGGCTGTAGGTCGTTGTGCACGTGCAGCCACCTGTCCAGCCCCTCCACCTCGGCTGAGGGCCCGAGGTGGAGGGGGGGTGCATTTGGGAAAAGGTGAAAAGAAAGAACGGTAGACTAGAATGGGAAGCAGCAGTTGCAGCAGCAGCAGCAGCAGCAGCAGCAGCAGCAGCAGCAGCAGCAGCAGCACAAATGGAGGGGGGGAGGGGGGAAGCGTCTGACATAACAGTTGTTGTGGTCTAGCACACGCAAGTTTAAACCCGGAAACGCCAGGGGAGAGAAACGGAGAGAACCGAAGGAACACGGGGCCCACAAACAACCAGGAAAAAAGGAACGCACGAATCCGTCCTCCTCCTCTTCGTCCTACTCCTCCCCCCTCCTCCCTCCCTCCTCGTTCTCTTGCGACCGCAGCCACATAATACCAGACAGGGTATGAGCACCCCGCCGCCCATGGCTTGACCTGAGCTCTGTTTTGCTGGACTTCGGCCGTGTTTAGTTGTTCGTGTTGGCAGGGAGGTGCAGGAGAACAGGCAGAGCAAAACGAGCAGCACAACGAAAACAGCACGAGATACAGCGTTCAGGTCCAGCCCTGGTGCTCATCACCGTCAGGGGGCAGGGTGAGTTCGCTCTCCTGGCCCCCCCCCCCCGGTAGGGATGGGCGCCGGGAAGCCCGAGGGAGAAGGCACCCGCTCCCGCGCAGGTGGAGCCAAGGGTTCTCCACGGCGGGGGTGGGGACGGCTCCCCTGGGGGGCGTCCAAGAGGGGGATGAAGGCTGGGGGGTGTAGACATCATGGCTGGGGCCATGAAACCTCCCGGATTTCATGCCCCCCTCTTTTTTGTCTTCTTCTTCTTCTTCTTCATCATCTTCTTCTCTTCTTCATCTTCCTCTTCCTCTTCTAATTATCCGGAAGGGCTTCGCCCCCTGCCGCCGGCCCCCTCTCTCGGAGAATGGGCCATGGAAGAGCGAAGTCATGAGGCTTTGGCTTTGCCGTGAAGCAGTGTCGGGACCTCTGCGTTTTTCGACCCTGACCCTGCCGATCTGCGTGAGGATTGCCGCCGAATTTCAGACATGTGGCAAATCCCTTCTGTTTTTGGACCCTGACCCGACGGATCTGCGTGAGGGGTGCCAGCGAATTTCAGAAGTGTGGCAAATCCTTTGTGTTTTTGGACCCTGACCCCGCCGATCTGCGTGAGGGGTGCCACCGAATTTCAGGAATATGGCAAATCCTTGGAGCGCCTTGTCGGGCCGCTGCGGAAGCGCCCCCGCTCGCGCCGGCTCGCACGAAATGCTTGTCGGGCCGCTCCAGAAACGCCCCCGCTCGTGCAGGCCCCCACGGAATGTTCGTCGGGCCGCTCCAGGGGCGCTCCGGCTCGCAGGCCGAGCGCTTGGAAGCGCTGGGCGCGCCCTGGAGCGCCTGGGCTTGGATTTCGGGCCTGCCGACGCCGCGCTCGATCCTGGCAAATCTGGCAGATTCTGGCCAGCCCGGCAAAATGTCAGTGGCTCCACAAAAACAGCTCCCAATTCACATTTTCTTTATTATTAAACCTGATTTTGGGCTCGGGCGCGTCCCCGGCCCAATTTCGGGCGGCCCGCTCGTGCCAGCTCGCACGGAGTGCGCGTCGGGCCGCTCCGGGAGCGCTCCAGCTCGATTCGGGCGACGGATTTGCTTGAGGGGTGCCACCGAATTTCAGAAATGTGGCAAATCCTTTTGTGTTTTTGGGCCCTGGCCCCGCCGATCTGCGTGAGGGGTGCCGCCGAATTTCATACATGTAGCACATCCCATGTGTTTTTGGACCCTGACCCTGCCGATCTGCGTGAGGGGCGCCACCGAATTTAAAACATGTGGCAAAACCTTCTGGGTGTTTTTGGACACTGGCCCCGCCGATCTGCGTCAGGGGTGCCACCGAATTTCAGAAATGTGGCAAATCCTCTGGTGTTTCTGGACCCTGACCCCGCCGATCTGCGTGAGAGGTGTTCATTTTTACCCCCTCAGGAATTCTGAGAACCCACCCTGGGGACGCTAACCAGGGTCCTTTTCGGCTCCCCCCCTTCGCGCGGACAGTAACAATTTACAGTAGGAAGCAGAAAGCAGTACTGTAACAATGGAAACTGGAAACTGGAACTGGTGCAGGGAGCAGCAAGCCTAATCCTCGCAGCCCGATAGCCCCGCAAGAGGGCCGGCGGATTCTTATTATTTTTCTTTCAATGCGTTCCCGTCCATCCCCCCTCGTCCGCGTACGGGCTTCGGGCCAGGTTGCGCCAATCCCCCCCCTCTCTTTCAAGCTCCCCTCTTCGGCGCACCCGGCCAAGATAGGGCAAGATCGCTCAAGAACGTTACCCAGGCGCGCCGCTCGATACGTTTTCCAGACCCGTCGGTTTTCACATACAGTGGAGACCCATGCCAAGAAACACCATGCTTGCCTCCAGGGTGCCCTGGGTTTCTTGGGTTTCGATGGCTTTGCGATGGGGAGCGCGACGTTCCCACACCAAAATTCAGTGGACGTCCTGGGGTCTCAGTTTTGGGTTTTGTTGTGGAAGGTTTCTTGTGGTCGAGCCCCGACAGTATTCCCGGTTTTTTCTGATCCGAATTGGTCCTCATCGTGCCTTCGTCTTAGAGTTTTGGGGGCCAGCGACAGGACGGCAGGTCGGTCGGTCCGTGTGCTCTGGGGAAAGGGAGGCGCTCGGGAGCATGATTGGCACCACCAGTACTTCAACGGCATGTTCGCCCCCACCTTCACTTATTGGGACAGGTTCTACCGCCAGAATATATATATATATATATATATATATATATATATATATATATCATATGTGTGTGTGTGTGTGTGTGTGTGTGTGTGTGTGTGTGTGTGTGTGTGCGGGTGTGCGTGCGTGCGTGCGTGCGTGCGTGCGTGCGTGCGTGCGTGCGTGCGTGCGTGTGTGTGTGTGTGTGTGTGTGTGTGTGTGTGTCTTGTTCGGGCTTGCCTGCAACTTTGTGTCGTCCCGGCCCGCTGCCGTGCCATTTCTCTCTTTTTCCCTCTCCCCCCTCCTGCTATAGCCTGCTGGGCTCGGGCATACTGCGTTTCTTCGCGGGGGCAAACCCCGATCTGGGCCCAGGAGGAGGAAGAAGAGGAGGAGGAGGAGGAGGAGGAGGAGGAGGAGGAGGAGGCCCGCGGGCCCCTTCGCCCTCGGGGAAAGGCCGAGCCCGAGGTTGGCACCTCTCCTGCCTGGGCCTCCAGAGGTGGTGGCCCCAGGGGCACGGAGGGCCCCACCGCGTCGGGGGCGCAGGGCCCCACCCCTCGCTCGGCCACCGAGGGCCACTCCTTGCGGCGGGTGGGTGGACGGTGCGCTCCCGGCTCCCGCTTGCGGAAGTTGGGGCGTGCGCCGATCACCTCTCGCTGCCTTGCGGCCCCTGTGCCCCTCGGGGCCTCCCCCCGTCGTTGCTGCTTGCTGATGGATCGACGCGCTCGCACCGCGCGGCCTGCTGCATCTCAGCACGTGGTCACCTGGTCTGCGAGTCCGCCTCACCCTGGATGGCAGGGCCTTCCCCCGGACCCCCCCCGCGTGCGGTGCGGCTGAGGGGCTCGGCAAAGTGAGCCTCACGGTTCAGGCGCTCTAGCAGGCGCCACCGCGGCCGGCTGGAAGGGCAGCCGGAGCACCCAGTCCTCTGGAGGCCCCCGCACGCGCCACTCGGGGCTTCCCCCTGGTCCCTGGTGCCGATCCTCGAGAATGCAGCATGCTCTGTTGGTGGTCTGCACCAGTGCCTCCCTGGCGCGCTCCGCGTGCCAGGGGCGGCCCGAGAGCCCGCGGCGGCGACCCCGTCGTCCTCGTCGTCATCGTCCTCTTCCTCCTCCTCTTCCTCCTTCTCCTCCTCCTCTTTCTTCTCCTCATCCTCATCCTCATCCTCATCCTCATCCTCATCCTCATCCTCATCCTCATCCTCATCCTCATCCTCATCCTCATCCTCATCCTCATCTTCCTCAGTCCCCCTAGTCTTCTCTCCTCTTTCCTTCTCCTTCTCTTCCTCCTTCTCCTGCTTCCTCCTCTTCTTACTTCCCCGAGGCCCAGAAGCTCCTCCGATCCAAGCCTGTTCGGCCCAAGATGACCCCAAGATCGCCCCAAGATGGCCCAAGAGGGCCCCTAGAGGGCCCCAGGATGGCCCGAAGGTCCCCAAGGAGGCTCCCAAGCGCCCCAAAAGATGCCCCAAGAGGCCTCCCAACGGTCCCCACGAGGTCCCGAGAAGCTTCCAAACTCGCTCCACGAGGTGTTCGAGAAGCATGCCAAGAGACCCCATAATTAATCAATTAATTCATTACTTATATACAATTATCTTAAAGGCTGCCGCCTCTGCCGCCGACCCCACTTGAGCGACGTATGTTTGGTTTGTTTGTTGTCGGGGTGTTGTTGGGGGTATGTTAATTTGTTGTTGGTTGGATTTGTGGGGGGTGGCAGTGACTCGGGTGAGTGGTCGGTGGATTGGGCAACGTGGCAAGTCTTATCGAACAGCAGTCAGGACCCCATCCCAGAAGGGGAAAATGAGGTTTGGGTTTGTAGTTGGCGTGGACTGATGGTTTGGAGCTGCCGTGGACCCCTGGGACATCGTCGGGATTGCGTTTTCGGGAAAGCCCACACCTGATGTGGTTGAACCAACTTCGCTCGAGATCTTCTTTTTCTGGGCTCAAAAATGTCCTGTTAATGCTGTCGCCGATGGCCCATTGGACTACGTTGTGTCCCTAGTCAGATGAACACTCGGGAAGACTGGAACCCTACTTGTTGCCAGTCTCGGCGAAGCTGGAACCCTCCTTGTTGCCAGATTCGGGGGGCCAGGTGGGGGGGTGGAGGCCAGGTGGGGGGTATCGGTTGTTTTGGGGCGAGAAAGGTGGGGGGGTGGAGGCCAGGTGGGGGGTATCGGTTGTTTTGGGGCGAGAAATCGTGGGGTCGGAGGTCCCAAAAAACAGAGCCCAGAGGCCTGGGGATGTCGAGGGGGGGTGGAGGCCAGG